CTACTACTACTCTACTACTGCTACTCTACTACCCTTAACCCTGAATAAGGCTTTTGTTGTTTGCAGTGCTGGGGCAGAAGAGGGCTGGGTTTTCAGGCCGGCAGAGCTACTCCAACTCTAGAATGGTTTGGGTTTAAGGTTTAGGGTTTGACTAGGGTTCGGGTTCAGGAATGAGGTTTTAGGCGAAGGGTTTAAGGCTTTGAGGTTGAGGGTTTTCGGGATTAGGACGGTGCAAAGCTGTCAGGTTTACATGGATGAGGTTTTGACCCTAAACCCTAAACCCTAAACCCTAAACCGTCAGGTTTACATGGTGGATGTCGTCTTCAATACCACCGACCCTGAAGCGGAGGCGCTCCCTGCTTGTCACTTCCCCACTCTGGACCTCCTAATTTTAGTCCTTCAGGGTTTAGGGTTTATGGGGTTTAGGGTTTAGAGTTTTGGGTTTAGCAATTTAGTGTCTAGATTTAGAGTTCAGGGTTTAGGGTTTAGGGTTTGGGGTTTAGGGTTCAGGGTTTAGGGTTTGGGATTTAGGGTTTAGGGATCGCAGGTTTGGGTCTTGGGTTGCCGGTTCCGGCAGGCACAGTTGCTGACTTCAGGCTGAAGTCGGGAACCTGTGAGAGATGGACGGATACATAGCACAGCCGAAATCCTTTCTGAGGCCGAGGTGTATGGCTTTCGTACCGACAGGCTCCGTGTGCGCAGAGCACATTAAACGGTTATTGGAGGAAGTAGCGAAGCTAAGCTGGGGATGACGCTGTTGAACCTAGTCGACGAGAGGGGTCGGGTCTCAGATTTGCCAAGGTAGGGAAGTTCCTGAAGCGGACGTGCATGCAACATCTGCTAACCCGAGCCGGAACCCGTGCAACCCTTACGAGTCAAGTGGAGTGTTGAGGGCTGTGGGCGGCAGATTCTGGCCATGACATGCGGTTTGCCTGAAAATGCAGAGGGGCATCTAAACTCTCAGGAGGCACCGAGCCACCAAGTACTCAAAGGCTTGGCGTGTTCAGGACATCCCTTGAACCGGATCCCTGTTTTATAAATGGAGTTATGAGTCCCCTAATATGGGCTAGAACCTCCAAGTATAATATCTCTCCCGAGGCTTTAGCCGAACTCTTCTTCAGGCCCCTCCAGTAGACCCAGTAAGCCCCCGTTTCAACAACGCCAAAACGGAAGCAGGCACAGCTTATCGGCTCCTCACGACAAGAGTCGGCCATCGTAGTGGGCGTCCTGCTCGCCAGGGCCTTGGTGCCCACGTGCGCTGCATGCTTCGGAGTTAGGATTTAGGGTTTAGGGTTTAGGGTTTATGGTTCGGAGTTAGGGTTTAGGCTAGGGTTTGTTTACAGTTTGGGATCCACGATGCACAGGTTTGGAGTGCGGGTGCCTGTCTCAGGATGCTAGGATGCGAAACACCCTTGGTCTTTCCACTTCTCAGTCATTTCTTGCAGGATGACGGTTTCGGGGTTTAGGGCCAGGCCTCTCAAGGTAGTTGGCAAGTGAAGAGCTGTAGAGCAGTGCATCATGGGTTGCACCATGCGACCGACTGTTTAAGCCCAGAATTCCCGCTAATAGGCAACGATGACCGAGTCCCCCAGATCCCTTAAGTAAGCCAGAGCAAAAGCGTTGTATTTGTTCGATGGAGACCCTAAAAAACTTTGCTGTCAAAATTGTGGAGTTTGCGGTTCGGGTAGGTTGCACCAATAGTCCTGAACCCTGAACCCTTGCCCCGATTAGTGCACACGGTTGCTGTGGTGCATCCAGAGGATACTCTGCGTTTTGAGCGCTATCCTGACAGCTGTCTGCCCTTGATAGTTTACTGCCCTCTTCCTAAGTTCGGCGTTTGATGAAAGTCGGCCTTGGTAACCACACTATCGGCCCCAAGAACCGTAGTCCCTTATGCTGTTGGCTGGTGTTTGTTCAACCCTGCTTATTCATAGCCATAGCAAAGGCACAAAGTCCTTACAGAAGTAGCACCAGGCTGCTCCCATGGTCTTAGTGCACATCGCGGCTCTGATCAAGGCACCGGCACAGAGAATCTTGGGTTTAGGGTTCTGACGTCCTTCGTCGCGGGTTTGGGGTTTGGGATACAGGGGCTTCAGGCTTCAGGTTAGCAGGAGGTTTTATGGTCCGGGTTCTTTCAGAGCGCTCAGGGGCGGAGCGTTCATCATGTCTGTGATCCTGCCTCGTGTCGGAAACACGTCTATATGTTGGTCTTTAGTTCCGAAGCTCGGCTTGTTCCAGGTGCACCGGGATCTAAATCCAGACACTCCACTTCCAACCGCCATCAAATCAACCCAGAAGCCACGACCCAAAGCTAGACCCTAAGTACCAAAATCTGCATTGTCAGGACCTCTACATCAGTTTCTCCCTAAGTTTTAGAGACCCCCAGTAAGCCCATAGATCCCGAGATCCGAGTGCGAGGCCAAGATGGACTTGAAGGGGCATTTGCATCTGTTTCTGCAGCGCAGCCTCTTCAGGAAGTACTTGAACTACAGCTTTTTGGCTTCTATGAGGTCTGCGCCAGGGAGGCAAGCCCAACCCCTAGGCCCTAGATAGCATTGAGGGCTCCAGTGCATTTCCGGTTCCCGGAAAGTTCACCACGGCTAGCACGGAAACTGAAGCTCTTTGTTGAACTCAGACAGGAATCTAAAATCCAAGTCTTCAGAGTGGATGTCAGTTGGGAGTTATCAGAGTTTTTGGCTTTGGCTTCAGCCCCTACTGCGGGGACCTCAATAAAAAGAATACGGGTTTGGGGGGGGGGTAAATTTGTAGCAAATCTCAAGGTATATTTCTTACTATAGCTAGACTAAGGAGCAGTGTTAAGTAATTATTGAAACCCCGATAACAACTCCAAGCACCGAGTTAAAGAGCTCAAGACCCATGTGTAGACGTTACAGGGTTCAGGGGTTGGGGTTTCGGGCTTAGGGGTATAGTTGGTTGCGGTTCAGGGAATGGGTTCAGGGGTTAGGGATTAGGACGCGGATAGGCCTCATAGGCAGTGGGAAAAGCCAAACAAACCCTCCTCTTTAGGCCACCAAAACCTCGGAATACCCAGGCGAAGAGTCACGAAGCTCCGTACCTCCGGCTCTAATGCAGAGTGCCACCTGCCGCAAGAAAGCTGGGAGGGTTCTTGCTCTAGAATTCCGATCCCTGTGTCTTAAGTATATCTTAGGTGCATAATCTAAGTATGCTGAAATTTGACCCCCCCTTTTTTGGAAGCAAGGAGGTAAATTCGGGCTTGGAGGTTTTGCAGGGCTTGGTGCTGAAGTTTCTGCGGGCTTGCAGGGTTCTGGGCTTTTGACGGTTTGAGGTTTTCATCCTAAACCCTAAACCCAAAGACCCTAAACCCCTAAACCCTAAGCATGTCGATGCTGTTTTGAGAAGGGTCCGAGACGGTGACTCCGAGCCATTTCCTCGCAGTTCCGGGTATAGTAGATGCCTCAGTCACTGACAATGGTGGAACACTGCAGTCACTCCCTATAAAGGTAGAGCATGATAGGCGCAAAGACCCTAGTCTCCAGGAGGAGCCCTGTCTTGACCGTACAATCCCCAACCTATCCGAATACCTAAGCCCTACACCCCTAACAGCAAGCCTTGCAATCCAACACGAAGGCCATCACGCGAGAATCGGGAACTTTGGCCGCAGATTGGGCAAGGGGTTGGGCCAGATGTTGAGGTGGTGAGCACTCGAGCCGGCATGAACCGCGATCACAAGGGCCTGCAGCAGCACCCATTTGGAGTCCCACCCACCTATTTCTTGCTTTGACAAATTTGAGCATCTGAAAAGCAACATGCCTCTCGTGGCAGCAAGTCTATGTCCATTCCCAACTACACCCCAGACTGCCGGCGAAGCCCCTGCAGCCAAGCGCATCTGCCAGAAGAAGCCGCCTCATCCTTCGGCAAAGTTCTGGACCTCGTCGCGATTATGTGTCAGCTCCCTCGGCACCAAAGTATGATGTCATGAGAAACAGCAGTGGTAATAGCAACACTGTCAGTAAGCAATAACCCAGTAGCTGACGGGCATCCAGGAAGAGAGAGGAGCAGATGCTTTTGTCTTAGCTTCAGGAGGTTGGGTTTAGGGTTTAGGGTTTAGGGTTGAGGGTTTAGGGTTTAGGGTTGAGGGTTCTGGACAAGTTTCGGGCTCACTCGATCTCGTGGATGCGTTTCAGGCCGTTGTAGTCATTGTAGTCCCACCGGGACTTGGATAAGGAGGGAGCTGTCCAAAGAGGAGCTTCGGGTAAATATCAGTTAGAGCAGGAACAACCCACATGCATGCTTCAAACGGAATCTCAGTGGCTTTCTCACACAGTTCCCTAAGCTTCGATTCCACCGGGTTCTGCATGCGTCAACGCTTCTGAAGCCCCTAAGGCTTGTGATCTTCGCGTATTTCACCATCATGGAGAACCCGACAGCAATGATCTTCATCTTGGCAATGCCATGCAGCATGCTTCTCTATTTCACCTTGGTCAGCTTGACACGCGGCTGCAAGAAAGTTTGGGGGTAGAAGGCGCTGTGGTCTGTAATGAGTGTGACCCAAAACAAGGCACCTACTGTAAGCAGCGAAACCTGTTGAAACGCACACTCTTGAAGGGAAAATACCTGCAAGCATGCATTTTCTGCTGCTCTGTTGGGCTCCTCTATGATTCAGACAATCCCAAAGCGTGACTTGAGCCATCTTTCGGTCTTCCTCCCTCCCTACCTGGTCCCCCTGTTTTGTCATAGACCTAAACCCTAAACCCTACACCCTAAACCCTACACCCTAAACCCTAAACCCTAAACCCTAAAGTGTAAAGCCTAAGCCTCAAAAATGGTGGGGCCCGGCACTCGCGGGAGCTGGGGACATGGGGTTCAGGGCTTGAGATTCGGGTTCCAGGGTCCTGGAGCCCGGGTTTAGGGTGCCAGGCTTAAGGGTTTGGATTCAGGCTCATGGCTTCAGGTTTAAAGCTTGAGGTTTGAGATTGAGAGTTATAATTCATATTACGGTGTTGACATCACGATTTTTTGCTATTACATGCTTTTACTCTCGGCGTAATGATGATCGACTTCCTTGAAGCCCACCTATCCAGGGAAACACCCCGAATCTCAAGCCCCTGCCTCTCGCAGACCTGCATTGCTTTCGTTTCAGGTGCCGTGGAGAGCGTGACCAGTGGAAGGACATGGGGGTTTCAGAACATAGGGGACCCTAATATAGTACCCTAAATAGTAGGATCCTTATTATAAGGACCTCAAAATAGGATACCCTAATTTTCGGAAACTCCCACATGCCTTTTCAATCCTAACGTAAGTTAACCTTCAGTAGGCGGCAGGTCAAGGTAGGAAGCGGACCGGCCATGGTACCAGACTTGGTTTCATGATGCTGCCTCCACTCGGACGCGAGGGTGTGAACGGTCGGAAGCCCTTGGCTCTAAGCCTCGAAGCTTCCAGCAGTCGTAGTTAGACCCCAAAAGCGGAGGTAGTGTTCCTGATCTAGAATCTAGCTGCTTTCGGTTGGAGGCCTGATTCGATTTTGCCGTCGCTTCCTGAGCCCTGCTGCCAGGAGATCGAAGACCAAATGCTGTTTTTAGTGGATGAGGCCTGAACCTAGAGTTCGTGAAGCACCTAGTTACATAAGTCCAACTGACTTGCACATCTATTTTCCATATATGTGATAGAAAGGTTCCATATAGAAAGATAGATCGACAGCTTCAATAGGCCGATCGGTAGAGAGATGGATAAGTTTTTATATACAGCTACGTACATAAACAAGGTACCATGTTTGGAGAGGCAGGTGGGCATGCAGGTACGTAGATAGATTGGTGGTTCTGTCGATGTACTGTTGCTTGCTCAGTGTACATGGCAATATAATACTCACTAGAACACATGACAATTGCTCTAGCATGCACGCATGCATGTTTTCCTGCATGCAGGCGTAGACAATCCAGCACATACACGTGGAAGAATAATACACTTGCCGAGTTTCTGACCTCATGCTGGTTGTTTCGCATTATGGGTAGGGACGTTGCCAGAGAAGCCCCGAAGCAAGATGCCATGCCGTCGAAAATCCAGCCCCGATAGAACGCCTCATATAGAACCCGTATAGTGGGCCTTGTACTGAGCCCTAAACCCTAAACCCTAAACCCTAAACCCTAAACCCAAACCCTAAACCCTAAACCCTAAACCCAAACCCTAAACCCTAAACCCTAACCCTTGTGGAACTACGCAGCCCCACCCTTCGGAGGAGATGCCCCAAACCCTTTCAGGAACGATCACGAGAGCCTCGGGAGCCGCAGTGGCATTCTCGTGGTCTGTGTAGGATTTAGCGTTTTGGGGTTCAGGGGTTAAGGGTCCATAGGTCTTGAACCCTAAACCCTAAACCCTAAACCCTAAACCCTATTTTGCTTGAGAAGAGGACTCCAGCCCCTCTACACTCGTTTTGAAAGCTTACGGAGGTCCAAACCCAAATCCAGCGCCAAGCTCCAAATCCGGAAACCCTGAACCCGGCGGACGACGAGAGGTCTGCCACCGATACCGGCTGGTGGCAGATTATTTTCAGAGGCCCGGTCCCGCTCACAGGCATGTCGACAAATGCTCAGACAGCCGTAAATAATAATAATAATAATAATACTAATAATAATAATAATAGTAACAATAATAATGATTGATAATAATAATTACACAAGCATACACATGAAGAATGTATGCATTGATGAGTTGTACATGCATGCATGCGATGCATGCATACATAGAGATTACTGGTTTGTGTACACTTCCTAGTGAGACGAGTGCCTCTCTCTCCGCATATATATATATATATTTATTTATTTATTTATATATTTATATATTTACATGCACATGTACATATACATATACACACACCTTTTTGTCAGTACGTGTGTGTGTGGTGTGCGTGTGTGTGTGTGTGAGTTTACTTGTGGTTGAGGGGCCGTAAGTGTCTTGGGCCGTCCCTCGGCTTCCCGAGTCGTTCAGCATCTATCTGACCATCCCAAGACTGACAGTGAAAGTTTTCAGCAGCGTGAACAGCAGGAAGTACGTTTCCGCTCAGACAGATAGGTAGCTGGAGCGATAGGCAGATAGACAGAAAGATCGACAGAGACAGAGATAGACATGGTGACAGAGACGAAAACAGTGACAGACATGTGCAAGTGGGTACTTAGATATTCGTGTATTTGATACAACTATATGCACATACATGTGTTACTTATTTGCTTATATTGAATGTGCTACTATATATACATATATATATATATATATACAATTGGGTTTTAACTCTACCATGTTCTGCTAGGATCATGTGGCGCCTTGTAACAGGTTCGGGGCAGTGTGCATTTCACATTCCAGATACACCAGCCAGAGCCTCCGTTACAGCTCCGTTACACCTCGGCTACAGCTCCGTTGCAGCTCATTTGCACCTCTGCACTACACCTCCGTTACAGCGTCGTTACACCTCCGTTCCGTAACGGAGAGGGCCCCGGGTCCAATCATAGCCGGCATAGCGGGATGTCCACGACATGGTAGGGTTAACGCCCAAATATACATATATATATATATATATACTATATATATATATATATATTATATTATATATATATGGATTTATTCATTTTTTCGTTTATTTATTCGTGTATTTCCTTTTTTATTTGTATATGTATATTGATATGTATACATATCGTGGTACAGTAGGTGGACAGTTTCTTTCGTGAATGGCTCCTGTACTACAAAAGGGGCCAACTCTCAGTCGCAGGCCTCAGATGAACGAGGAGTTCCAGAGCCTTGGTTGACAATTACATATATGAAGCTTAATATAGGGGCCTTAATAATTAGAATAGGTTTGTGGGAGATACTATAGTACAATTATAAGAAGGAACCCCCAAAATAGTATTGGCAATTATTTAGGCCCTCACATTATGCAGATGTTGAAGAGTCTAGGATTCATGGGGTTAGGAGCTTGGGCATGCTGATTAGCCACGCCTCCAATCTCTGCCCATGCAAAAACCAACGAGTATTCAAAAGAGGGTTCGTTAGGCTTGGATCTACGACTACCAACAAAGGAAACTCTGATCCCTGAACCTATTGAAGTTGAGGGTTTTCAGGGTTCCGGGGTCTTGGATGTTGGGAGTGGGTCCACCGTTCAGATGCTCTACGGCTTTAGGGTTCCGTGTGTTGGGATGGTTTGCATCGGGGAAAGCACTTCTTCCACGAGCATATCTTGTTGTGGTGGCTCCTCTTCCGGCTGGTGAAGTCCATATGGGTAGTTCTCTAAATCAGGGTCCCTGTTGGGATCCTTTTTATAAGGGTGCCGTACTATATTGGGGACCCAAAAAGAGACCCTAATTTAGAAAACTAGCCACAGTGTTATCTGCAATGGTTGATTGACCTGCTCTTTGTTACTACGCAGTCGCACAGTTCCGACCCCCGCAAACGCTGCACATCGGAAACCACACGCCCAAGAACGTTAAAGTCCATACCCTTTAAAATCTTTCAAGGATCTCAGAATCTTGGCAGCATGATGGAGGCCGCGTCCATCCGGAATGTCGTAAATCTTTGCAATAAGAGAGCGCAGTCAACACTTCCCGATCATTACATGCCGTACAGTCCCGGAAGCTCGCCCAAACTCCGTGCCCCAGCGTCCCGCTCCGTAAACAATCCTGAACCCGGAACCCCAAGCGCCAACAAGTTTTGGGAATCGCTCGACCGTCAGACGTCTCCAGGAAGACCAGCGGCGACCTTAGGCGCGAGATGGTTCCGGACCGCCTCTTCTGATGGATGCTGTCGGGGAAGGGGTTTCCGCAGGGAGGACTGTTTTAAATCGGTTCTATAATACTCAATGTGGTAAATCTGGAGATAAACTAGCTAAAAAGCACGAATGTCAAGCATGTACAAGTATATGCCTGGCAGACTTGGCATCATAGAGTAGTAAGCGCAGTAAGCCTGTTTGTTTTCACGTCGCGGCTTCCTAAGTGAAATGGGAATGTCTGAAATTAGGAAGCCTGATGGAAGTCTCTAAATACTGGGATCCGAACATCAGAAATACGATCAGGCTCGAGGGTTACTGTGAGTTTGATAGTAAGGTTACTACAAGCGTATCATGTGGTTACTTTACGATTCCTATAAAGGTCAGTATGAGGTGACTTATTTTAGGGACTAGTCGTAGGGAGCAGCCAAGAGGTGATTTAGAACCCTCGCTGTGGCAGGACCACCTCAGAGATGCCAACGACAACATGTTCCCAAAGTGGTGGCTTGGAGTAGAGTTTCGAATTTAGGGGATTAGGGACAAGGGTTTAGGTGTTCAACGGAAACCACAACTGCAGACCTGCCGTGCGGCGAAGCAGAAACAGCATGCAACATGAATACCATTGACATGGTATCGTAGAAATGCAAAGCTCTGCAGCCGTGCCGTAGGGGCTCCTTGAAACCTGGCAGAGGGCAGCAGTTTAACATCACCCAGACCCCTAAACCCAAAACCCTTAAACCCC